GAGTCTCACACTGTTGCCCAAGCTCAAGTACTATGATGGCACCCTAGCTCACAGCAACCTCAGACTCCTGGATTCAAGTGATTCTCCTGCCTCAGCCTCCCGTGTAGCTGGGACTATAGGCACCAGCCACAATACCCAGCTAATTTTTCTATTTTAGTAGAAACAGGGTTTCGCTATTTCTCAAACTGGTCTCAAACTGCTGAGCTCAAGTGATCCTCCTGCCTCAGCCTACTTAGTGCTGGGATTACAGGCCATGAGATGGGCCTGTGAGGGTGGGCCTGTGAGGGTGGGATTGTGAGTCCCCACGCCTGGCCCTCCAACATGTTATATTAATGGAAATGCACAGCTTGTCATGATTGGGATTGGCTTTTTTCCCTTGGCCCCATTCCCTGGAGATTAATCCCCATTGTTGTATATATGGATATATTGTGAAGTAGGAATGTTCTGAAGATCTGAAATCTTGCCTTTACTTTACTGCAGCTGCCTAGTTCTACAAAACAGACAGAGCCCATGAGTTATGACAGATACCAAACTCTACTTAATTACCTGGTTAAGTGTCTGCCTGTCTCAGAACAGGTTCCTTAACATGATGCTGCTGACATCTGGGGCCAGGGCAGTGCTGGGCCTTGCAGAGTGCTGAGCAGTGTCCCTGGCCTCCACCCGCCCATGCCAGGGCCACCCCTCCTCCAGTCGTGACAACCATGAATGTCCCCAGACATCACCTAGTGCCCCAGGGTGGCAGGATCACCTCTAGTTGAGAACCACCGAATTAGAGTTCACCAAACAAATCAAAATTGGATGGAAAAAGTAGAATTTTTGCTGCCTAAAGGAACCGAAAAAAATTTTGCATAACGGAATTACATAAACAAATAAACATCACTCACACATGGCTGGCAGGAATATAAAACGGTGCAGCCACTGTGAAAAATGGTGCAGTCACTATGAAAAACAGTTTGGCAGTTTCTTAAAAATTAAACATGCGTCTACCATATAACACAGCAATTTCACTCCTCAGTGTCTATTCCAGAGAAATAAAGACGTATGTTCACATGAAAAGCTGCACAGGAATGTTTATAGCAGCTTTACTCATGACAGAAAAAACTAAAATCAGCCTGGCAAGGCGGCTCACATCTGTAATCCTAGTACTCTGGGAGGCTGAAGTGGGTGAATTGCCTGAGCTCACAAGTTCGAGACCAAGCTGAGCAAAAGCAAGACACCATCTCTAAAAATAGTCCCAGCTACTCAGGAGGTTGAGGCAAGAGAATCGCTTGAGCCCAGGAGTTTGAAGTTGCTGTGAGCTATGACGCCATGGCACTCTACCAAGGGCGACAAAGTGAGACTCTCAAAAAAAAAAAAAAAAAAAAAGAAAAGAAAAAACTTAAATCAGCCCAGATGTTCTTTTTTTTTTTTTTTTTGAGACAGAGCCTCAAGCTGTCCCCCTGGGTAGAATACCATGGCATCACAGCTCACAGCAACCTCCAACTCCTGGGCTCAAGCAAGTCTCCTGCCTCAGCCTCCCAAGTAGCTGGGACTACAGGTGCCCACCACAACGCCCGGCCATTTTTTGGTAGCAGCCATCATTGTTGTTTGGCGAGCCCGGGCTGGGGATTCGAACTCGCCACCTTAGGTGTATGTGGCTGGCGCCTTAGCCACTTGAGCCACAGGCGCCAAGCCAGCCCAGATGTTCTTAAGCAAACTTTTCCATCCACACCATGGAATACTGCTCAGCCATGAAAATGAACAAGATACTGATTCATGTAACAGCCTGGGGTGGGGAAAGCCAGTACCAGAAGGTTACATTCCATACAGTCCCATTTGTATAACATTTTCTTTATTTTATTTTGTTGTATATATACAGGGTGGCCATAAAGTTTGTGTGCAATAGTTGTTAAATTGCAAATGAATTTTATGGCCACCCACCCTTTGTATATTTTTATAGACAGGGTCTTGCTCTGTCACTCAGGCTAGATGCAGTGGCATCATCATAGCTCACTATAGCCTCAAATTCCCAGGATCTCTCAAAAGATCCTCCTGCCTCAGCCTCCTGAGTACCTGGGACTACAGACATACATGACCATACTCAGCTAATTTTCCTATTTTATGCAAAGACCGGGTCTCATTATGTTACCCAGGCTAGTCTCAAACTCTTGGGCTCAAGCAATCCCCCCACTTCAACCTCCCAAAATGTTGGGATTATAAGCATGAGCCACCACACCTGGCAACATTCTTAAAATGACAAAAGTTTGGAAAAAAAGAACATATCAGTATTTGTGGGAGATTAAGGATGGTTTGGGAGTTGGGCGTGATTTTCACACCCAGAAGGGACGCTGGAGGTGGGAATGTTCTATATTTGTACCAATGTCTAGTTGTGATTATTGTACAAGATGTTACCATTGGGGAAACTATGATCTCAGAACTAAATATAATTTAAAAATAAGATGAATAAAAATGTTTTGGAAACCTGTAGTCCCAGCTACTCAGGAGGCTGAGGCAAGAGAATCACCTAAGCCCAAGAGTTGGAGGTTGCTGTGACCTGTGTGATGCTGCCATGGCACTCTACCGAGGGCAATAAAGTGAGACTCTGTCTCTAAAAAAAAAAAATTTTGGAAAGAATAAAAGTCATCCCAAACAAAAACAAAGCAGGAGTCATTGGTACAATGAAGAACTGACCTGTATAGGAGAACCCAGGAGGGAAGTACTCTGACCCTCCAAAATGTTTATGTACAGATGCCAAAAAAATGTATACACAGTTTTTTAAGAAAAAAAACTGTATAAAAATTGCAATACTCAAGTCACGTTTGACTTCTGCAATTATAAGAGACATATGATACAATGTACATTACTGATATCTATTGAATATTACAATTCTTTTTTTTGAGACAGAGTCTCACTTCATTGCCCTCAGCAGAGTGCCGGTAGACTGCCGTGGTGTCGTAGCCCACAGCAACCTCAAACTCTTGGGCTTAGGCAATTCTCTTGCCTCAGCCTCCCAAGTAGCTGGGACCACAGGCACCTACCACAACACCCGGTTATTTTTTTGTTGCAGTTGTCATTGTTGTTTATCTGGCCCAGGCTGGGTTCAAACCTGCCAGCCCGGGTGTATGTGGCTGGTGCCATAACTACTGTGCTATAGGCACCAAGCCTGAATATCACAATTTTAATACAGTTTTTTTCTTTCTTAAAATGTGTATATATTTTTTGGTACCCTCTGTATCTATGGAATACCCAATCCTAAGAGTGCTGGGAAAATAAATAGATGAGTATGTACAGCAAAAACAGCAAATATTCTCCCCATCATGCCATGGCGTTAGAGAACTGTGAATTAGCTAAAAGTTTCCAGAGTGAGAGGGAGATGGTTTATCTTGAATTGTCCACTCATGCTAAATGACTGACTTAAATAGAGCACATTATCGACACTCAGGGAATTGTCTTGGGTAACCAGTGTCCCCTTCGAAATTCATGTCCGCACACATGACCCGATTTGTAAATAAAGTTTGCAGATGTGATTAAGCAAGATTAACTTGTGCTGGAGTGGGGCGGGCCTTGATCCAATGACTGTGTCCTTATAAGAGAGAAATTTGGACACAGAGACAGAGAAAGAGGAGATAACCATGTAGTGGCAGAGGCAGAGACTGGAGTGATGCGGCCACAAGCCCAGGCACCTGCCACCCCCCGGATCTGGGAGAGGCAGGAAGGACCCTTCCCTGGAGCCTTGTAGAAACCCTGACTCAAGGCTTTCACCTCCACAACTAGATTTTTGTTGTCTTAATCTGCCCTGTTTGTGGTCATCTGTTCCAGCAGCCCCAGGGAGAACATCTACCCCAGCCCTTTGGAAAGCTCTGGAAAAGCCCTCAGATCTGAATAGGGTCCCCTCAGTGTCTGGGGACCATCATCTCTTAGTCTCCTGGAGTTTCTGTCATAAACAAACCCCTTTCCTGTGGCTGCCCTCTCCCCAAGAAGCTACTCCCAGGCAGGAAAGGACTGCAAAGGCTGCCACCTCTGCCCCACCCCAGGAAGCCCTGATCCACTCATAGGTCCCCTGCTGGAACCTCTGGGGGTCAGCAGACCTAAGCACCACTCCTCCACCTGGCCATTTTGTGTCTGAATGGGAACTTGGAGCCCTCCTGGACGCAGGAGCTGCATGGGTTTCGATCTCTGCACAGCTACCACCCAGGGTCATCAGTTCTCCATAAGGTTTGCAGAATAGAAGGCAAGAAATGTGAATGAAATAGGCCTGGGCTCTCCAAAGAAGGGGGACCCACCAGGATCCCGAGACCTGCTTCTGTCCGGGGTCCACGGTTCTTACCCTTCAATCCCCGCTGGGAAACTGGGCCCCGTTTGAGACATCTGTGGTTATCACGACTGGGTTGAAAGATACTCGGCACGGGGTTCACGGAGGCCAGGGGGGCTACTCAGCACCCTGCAGTGCCCAGTGTCCACGGTGCCTGGCGGCAGGGCAGGGATCAGAGAAGCTCCATGCTTGTCTCCTGCCGTGTCCCTCACTCTAGCCCAGGCGTCCTCAAACTATGGCCCGCGGGCCACATGCAGCCCGCCTAGGACATTTATCCAGCCTGCCGAGCGTTTTTGCCGCTGCTCTCTGTCCTGCTTAGCAGCCAGCTCATCCCGGGGCCCACAATCCAACCCTCCAACAGTCTGAGGGACAGTGAACTAGCCCCCTGTTTAAAAAGTTTGAGGACCCCTGCGAGTCTAGCCCAACCAGGAGCTGGTGCCATTATTTCTGGAAGTCTTCTGAGAACCTTTATAGTCACAGCCAGGGGCACCAGACCCCAACTGGCCACAGAAAGGTATGTGGGAAGTCATGTTTAGTGGGGTTCCCTCCCCTTGGCCAGGGAAGCTGGAGATGCAGCAAGGCCCTAGGGTGGTGGGGCCGGGCCACACAGTGAGGCTGTGGGAAGGGGTGTTCTGCCCCACTGTCCTTCCTGGGCCTGCTGTCTTGGGTCATTGCAAGCTGGCTCAAGTCCCCCTGCTTTCTCCCACAGCTTTCTGGACGCCGGGGTCCTGAGCTGATGGCAGACAATGTCAGCCACTAACAACATCGCCCAGGCCCGGAAGCTGGTGGAACAGCTCCGCATTGAAGCTGGGATCGAGCGCATCAAGGTGAGTGAGCCGGCAGCAGGAGGAACTGGGGGGATCCCGAAGGTGTGCCTGGCAGGTCACAGGCACTCAGTAAATGACAGGCAGGGAGCTTCAGCGGGAGGGCAGAGGTTACGCCATGACTGTACCTCTCACTGTGTGACCACGGACCCTCACCTAACCTCTTGGCCTGCACTTCCTCCACAGAAAGATTGCAGCTGATCTAACATCTACCTCTTGATTGTCACAGCAATTTGATGTGTTATAGCACTTTGTAAATGCAGTGAGACCCCCCAAGAAGGGCTGAGCCTGGCCCCTAGCCCCAGGGTCACCATGAGGCAAGCATTTAGTCTCCCTGCTGTCCCCTCCACTGACAGGCTGTTAGGCTTTTTGGGTACAACACATGCAAATAGACATGAGAATCTGGTGTGGTGACTCAGGCTTATAATCCCAGCACTTTGGGAGGCCAAGGTGAGAGGATCACTTTGAGCTCAGGAGTCTAAGACTGGGCTAGGCAACATAATGAGATTCTAAAAAAAAAAAAAAAAACAACAACAGAAAAATTAGCTGGACATGGTGACACATGCCTGTAGTCCCAGCTACTCAGGAGGCTGAGGTAAGAAGACCACTTGAGCACCAGACTGCAGTGAGCTGTGATCACAGCACTTATAACACTGTATACCAGCCTGGGCAATAGAGTAAGACCATGTCTCAAAAAAAAAAAAAAAAAAGGAAGAAAGAACAAAGAAATGAAAGACACAGGGAAGAGAGGAAGGAGACAGATTTGTCACTGTCTACTTTCTTCTTTTCTGCATTGTTTGCATTTTTCATAATAATCGTGTTTGATTTCTGTACTAAGGAAAGAAAACAGACAGCAGTTTCCTGCTCACAGACACTTAACCTGTCAAAGACCAGGAGCACACAAAGCCAAATGAGAAGGGCTCTAGGCAGTCTGCAATTCCAACAGACTTTAAAAAAATAATATGCAAAATGAAATTAGCCATTTTAAAGTGAGCAAGTCAGTGGCATTTCCTATATTCGCAGTGTTGTGCAACTATCTCCTCTCTCTAGTTCTAGAAGATTTCTATCAACCCAAAGGAAATCTAGTCCATCAGCAGTCATCTCCCAACTTCCCCCAGCCCATCAGCTCTTAGAGAACACGCATCCCAAATCCACTTCCCATCTCTGTGGATCTGCCTGTCCTGGACATTTCATATAAATGGAATCTCACACTGTGTGTCCTTCTGTGTCTGCTTTTCTCACTGAGCACGATGGCCTCAAGGTTTGTTCACATTGTAGCCTGTGTCAGAGCCTCCTTCCTTGTCATGTTTGAGTGATATTCTAGTGTGTGGACTGACCATGTTGCATTCACATGGTAAATTTCAGGTCCACACAGGGACCCCAGGATGACACCCAAGACTCACAACAACTCAACAGATGGGGTCACCATGGAGCACTTGGCAGTTTGAAAGGCACCTTCTCACCAAACCTGTGTCCACTTTGCAAAGGATGACCCAGCTCCAAGGGGCTGTTTTCCTGTCCCAGAAGGCAGTTTGCAGGGCTGGACAAATAGCCTTGCTCTGGCCATCAGAGAAAGAGAATGACTGAGGTAGAGGGATAGATTTACTTGAAGGCAAATTCAAATTCTGTACAGATAGCACAGGGGCTGAAAAAAAAAAAAATTAAATCTGCAGGACAACTACTAGACCCAAGCCCCAGGAAAGAGCTGATGCTGGAACACGGGTTCCAAAGCCATCTGGAAGCAGAATTCCCTTTCTTTCAGGAGACCTCAGTCTTTCCTCTTAAGTTTTTCAACTGAGTACATGAGGCCCACCCACATCAGGAGGGTTACCTGCTTTACTAAGAGATGTCAATCTCTCTAAAATACCATTGAAACATCTAGAATAATGTTTGACCAAACCAGAGTGTACCATGGTCTAGTCAAGTGGGCCCATAAGATGAACTGTCACTCCATGTATCCATTCAGACCTCTGTTCTCAAACACTTCTCACCCGTGGTTGGTCACTGGTCATGGGAATTCACTAAGATGGGGTGACTGGCTCCCAGCTTGCTCCAGCCTGGGACAGAAAGACTCGCTCCTGCTGACTGGGCAGTAAAGGGAATCCAGGAGGGTTTCAATTAGCCCGTGGGCCTCTGGCCTAGCCCAAGCCTTTCTGGACGCTGTCACACTGCCACTGGCTGGGATCCAGCCAGAAAGGATGAGGTGTGCCCTCCCACGAGGTGTCTGAATGTTTCAGGACTCCGACTGCTGGGGACAGACCTAGGCATTCAAAGCATTCCTCTGGGCTGAAAAAAGAGAAGGGCCCTGTTGAAGTGGGTTTCCTCTTATGAGCCAGTGCCAGCCCAGCCCTGGCAGAGGGCGGTGACTCATCCCACCCTGTTTGATGTTGAGGGTTAAGGAGGGCTCCCCCTTTGAAAGTTGGGCCAGGGGGATTCAGGACTAGACCCCACAATCCACGCCAGTCCCGCCTGAGGTTTTGCATCCCCTCAAAGTGGCAACCAGAAGAACCACAGAGCCCCAGCAGCAGTAGCCTCAGGACACAGCACAGCAGGGCACAGGAATTCTGGGAAAGAGCCTTTCTGTACTTGCCAGGGCCGTGCAGAGGGGCCCACGTGCCAGAGCCACCACACCAGCTATTTCCAGGGTCTGGAGCCTATTTCTGTTCCCCAGCAGGGCTGGTTCCCAAATAGAAGTTTAGAAAGTAAGTTCAACCCAAGTCATCAAAGGCAGTGGCCAACTAGCTCATGAGAGTGGCAATTTCACAATCCCTCCAGGGCAGGAGTGTCCCCTGAGCTGCCCTGCTTGGCAGGACCCTGAAGCCAGTCCCACAACCTATTGGCAGCCCAAGGGGATGCAGCCCCAGTTGTCCCTGTGGCTCAAAGGGGGATAGAGCATCTGCAAAGATACCTTCCAGGTGAGACAATCCTGTTGGGAACAGTTGCCAAGACCCACAGTGAGTTGCTGCTACTAGGGTGAGATCCAGAGCCCAGGGACATGACCTCAATTGCTCTAGCCTGGGATACCAACACCCTGACCTCCTGCCCTGCTGGGGTGAGCTGTGGGGCCATACCTTTGGGTTTTTTGTTTTTTTGAGACAGAGCCTCAAGCTATCCCCCTGGGTAGAATGCTGTGGCATCACAGCTTACAGCAACCTCCAACTCCTGGGTTCAAGCGAATCTCCTGCCTCTGCCTCCCAAGTAGCTGGGACTACAGGCGCCCGCCACAATGCCCAGCTATTTTTTGGGTGCAGCCGTCATTGTTGTTTGGTGGGCCTGGGCTGGATTCGAACCTGCCACCTTAGGTGTATGTGGCTGGCACCTTAGCCACTTGAGCCACAGGTGCCGAGCCAGGGGCTGCACCTTTGACTCCCCCCAGAGGTATCACTTGGAGGATGGGCAGCGTGGCCCGGGGTAGTTGGTGGCCTCAATCAGTGGCAGAAAGTCTTACCTGTGAATGGAAGCATCAATCCCTCACCAGAACCAGAGTTCCCAATGGATTCAGGCTGTGACAGGAAGTTAACTTGTGGAAGGTCTTACCTCGTCCTCATAGGGGCTCAGCCAAGTAGGCTGAATTGTCACTACTAGACTCCATCCTGTTAGATGTCCAGGCATGGTTTGACTAACTCCTAAAAAGGGTGCATCTAACTTGTCACCTGTGGCTCAAGTGGCTAAGGTGCCAGCCACATACACCAGAGCTGGCAGGTTCAAATCCAGCCTGAGACTGCCAAACAATGACGGCTGCAACCAAAAAATAGCCGGGCGTTGTGGCGGGCGCCTGTATTCCCAGCTACTTGGGAGGCGGAGGAGGAGAATCACTTGAGCCCAGGAGCTGGAGGTTGCTGTGAACTGTGATGCCATAGCACTCTACCGAGGGTAACAGCTTGACGCTCTGTCTCAAAAAAATAAAAATCAATTAATTAATTAAATTAAAAGGTCCTATCTGTCCTTGATTTTTTTTTGTTCAAAACCTGGCAACTCTTTTTTTTTTTTGAGACAGAGTCTCACATTGTCACCCTTAGTAGAGTGCTGTGGTGTCATATCTCACAGCAACCTCAAATTCTTGAACTCAAGAGATTCTCTTTCCTCAGCCTCCCAAGTAACTGGGACAGGCGCCCACCACAACACTTGGCTATTTTTAGAGACAGGGGTCTCACTCTTGCTCAGGCTGGTCTCAAACCCGTGAGCTCAGGCAAGCCACCTGCCTCAGCCTCCCAAAGTGTTAGGATTACAGACATGAGCCACCTCACCTGGCCAAAACCTAGCAACTCTTGAAAGAAGTTCAGCCTACTCTTTTTTTTTCAGTTTTGGCTGGGGCAGGTTTGAACCCTCCACCTCCGTTATATGGGGCTGGCACCCTACTCCTTGAGCCACAGGCGCCACCCTAGCCTTCTCTTTTTTCTAATCACTTTGTAATTGTGGGAAGACACATATAAAATTTATTATTAGCAATATTTAGTGCATTTGCAATGTTGTGTAACCATCACCTTTATCTACTTCCAGGACCATCACCCCCAAAAGCAACAACCCTGTCCCCATCAGAAATCTCCCCACTCCCTCCCCCAGCTCCTGACTACCATGTTCGGATCTGCCTGCCCTGGACATTTCACATAAATGGAATCACACATTGTGTGTCCTTCTGTGTCTGCTTCTCTCACTGAGCACGATGTCCTCAAGGTCCACTCACATTGTGGCCTGTGTCAGAGCCTTCTTCCTTGTCATGGCTGAGTGATATTGCCATGGATACATGGTGTTGATCCATCGTCCACGGATGGATACTGGGTTGTTTTCACCTTCGGGCTGTCATGAATGATGCTGTGGGAACTTGGGTGCATCTGCCCCTGCTTATCTTTCTTTTCTCCTCCTTGTGCCATTCACAGGTCTCCAAAGCTTCATCCGAACTCATGAGTTACTGCGAACAGCACGCCCGGAATGACCCATTGCTGGTTGGGGTCCCTGCCTCGGAGAACCCTTTTAAGGACAAGAAGCCTTGTATTATCCTATAGCTGTGTTCCCCTGTGCGTTCCTCTCCTTCTCTTCTTCCCTCTCTCACTGTTTCTCTCAGGCAGGGTATCACTCAGTACCTAGCTCAAACAAAACATCTCGAGTCCCCCAAACTTTTAATTCCAAAAGAAACACCAAGAGAAAACCCCCCAAATCAAAAAAGAGTTTCCACTGCCCAGAAGGGGTAAAATGTATTCTTTAGATTTAGATGGATTTTCAGACCTGATGACACAGCTATCTCACAGGCCGAGCCAAAATGGGACGGTGGCTTCACAGCCAGTTCCAATTAAGAAGAAATGAGATGCCCAAGCAATGTAATAACAATTTTTTTAAACTCTCAATTGCCACTAAAATTGTGGCATTGGAGCTGAGAAGGAAAGGTGGGTGAAGCTGCTTAAGCTCAGGGGATCTGTCCCCTGGGGGCAGTAATTCCTTCACAATTGGCTAGGTGTAAAAAGACTTCACCATTTTGCTGGGATGTTTTTTGTTTTTTAAGTAGAAGTAAAGCTGGGGTTGGGAGGGGTGGGATGACAGTGAACTTTTGTTGTAAAAAATCTCTGCACTTAAAAAAATTGTTATTCCATACTGCTGACATCAGATTTAAATGGCTGAACCTGTAGCTAAACTGTACACCTAATGCACAAATGGATTGTAAGAGCCAGGCAGGGGTTTTTGTCTACAGTATGCACTCTGGGTTGCCAAGCATCACTCCCCTAAATGGCATTTGTCACTTATCCTTTCCTGGGGACCCCATCCATTCCAAAAGTGGGTTTTCAGGCAGTCATTGGCCCAGTCAGTTATGTTTTATTTTAAGCACGAGGCATCCATGTGTCAAGAAGCTTTGATCATACCCAGCCCTTCCAGATTGTTTTCCACTTTCTCAAATCCTCATGGTCATTTTTCAAACTGAAATGCTATCCAGGAGCCTCTGCCTGGTGGGCCATATTTGTACATGGACATGTAAAAAGTTGCCAAGTTATCTTGAAGTGACCGCAAAGGACTCTGGGAGGTGAGATCCTTCCTCCCAGTGAGGGAAATATCCAATCAGGTCCCTCGTACCTAATTGTTTTGGTTTGCCACCCTGTTTCCATCCAGAAGGGCTGATTTGAGGATGGGAAGTATGTTTTGTGGAGAATCAATCAGTCTTTCCAATGGCCTTGGAAATTTAAGATGTCACGAAGGGGGGGTTTAAAGATGACTCTTTCCCCTTTTACGGCATGGACAGTAACAGCAGCAGGCGGAAAAGGGGAGGTGCTATGGGCACACCCTCCACCACCTGTCTGCATCACCTGGCCACAAATGAGATAGATCCTGGGCAGTGGGGACCCCACATAGCCCTGGACTCATGGCGCAGGTGGATCAGAGCCTGAAGACTTGTGCCAGGAAGGTTCCAGGACATCCACCCAGATCCTCCCTGCAGGCCCATGGAGCAGGGGCCAGAGTCATGGGCCAGCTTCTCCATGCTCCCTGCATAGCCACCTCTGAGGGTAGGGACTGAGGTTCCCATCTTGCCCAGGCTGGAAGGCGTCAGGTGGCTGCAGGAGAAGAGCAGGTGCAGGTGCTGGGGGGTGGTCCTCTGTCCTCTACCCCGGGCTGGCTCCCGGGAGGAACAGATGGTAGGGCAGGCTTCTCCCAGGCTTCCAGCTCTCTGCAGCTGATCCAGGTGGGCCAGAGCTCTGGTTGCCTCCACCAAACCTGCTGCTGGACCAGGAGAGCCACAAAGGCTCCTGAAGACTACAGCCTCCTTTTGCAGAGCTGGGGTGAGAAGGGCCCAGGGCAGGCCTTTCCACCAGCCCTAGGAGGATTGGTGGGAAGAGACAAAAGCCTGTCCTAGAACCCAGTGAGCACCCACTGCAGGGAGGCCAAGGGCCCCTCCCCACCCCTACCCTTTTCAAGCCACCGCCTTGGCACCTGGGAACCAAGGCTCCCCATTTCTCTTTGAAAGAAGCCTTAATCCCTTGAGGTGGTGTCACATTCTCTCATGGCCATCCTTCCTCCTTCGTCCTCACTGTCCAGGTCCTCTAGCCATCAGGCCCACAGAGAATGGTTGAGTTTTCATTCAGTGTCAGCAGCACTCCAGGGGCCTAAGCCTTGGTCCTCATCCTTCTCCTCTGTCTCCTGTCTTGCTGGGGCTGCAGGAGGAGGGAGACGCAACTGTGCCAAACCCAGCCCCACTCACATGTCCCCACTAGCAAGGTCCCAGAGAAACTAACAGGGATCCTGGGACCAAGGGGGATGATGGGGCCAAGCCCGAGCTTCCCTGCCCCAGACGCCTACTCTGGGCTCACCTGTCCCACATAGAGGACCCTGGCATCTGAGCCTTCTTAGTTTTAGGTAAACTGAGGCCCAGGAGAGGGACGGGGTGGCATTTCCCAAGAGTCAGGTCTGGGCTGCCCATTCTTGGCTGTCTCTGCCTTGCTCCCATAGCCCCACCATCTGAAAACCTGCTCTGCCCATGGCCTTGCACCCCAGGAAGGTGGCAACATGCAAAAGCCCATGGATTTCTTTCTAGCTTTTAGAGTAAATCTCTAAGCCCACACCGAGGGAAATGTCTGTGCAGACCCAACACCCATTGCACACATACAGATGACCATGTGTGCATGTCTGTCAGGAATATCTGCTAAGTATACAGTTTCCAGGCATTTTCAGGATTGCTGGTGCATCGCTTGGCAGGGAGCTGGTGTGGATGGCAGTGTCTCTCTCAACCTTGTCAGGGAAAAGAGATTTGAGGACACTTATCCAGGCACCTACCAATAACAAACAACAAAATAAAAACATAGCAGGCAGGGAGTGGAAATCAGGCCCAGAGTCTCCCATGGGTGGGGTATCAGGTGGGGAGTTCAGGGCCACACTTGGCCCAACCCCACCTGGTGGCCCACTTGGGCACCTTCTCCTATCCTCCCTGACTCCAGGAAGGCAATAGAATGTGCACCCCTCCACCCTCCCCAGGCCAAGTATGAAGTGGCACAGTTGTGACCTCTAGGCCTCTAGGAGACATACACACACGGTGGCGGTGGGGTGGCCCAGGGCTGGGGCGGAAGGTGTTTGTCTTTCTTACTCTCTGCCGGTCCCTTTGATGGGCCTCCACTCATCCATCTTGTCAAGCTCTGGGGCAGCAGGAAAAGACCATCAGAGCCCTGCCGGTGTGGGAGTGACCCGGGAGGGGATGTCCGGACTTAGGTGAAGCCACCGAACCATCGCTCTTCCTCAAAGGGCACTCGTAAAAAAGTCAGCCAATTTAAGAAGCCATATGCCAGGCTCACTGCTTGTCCCTCTGTCCTCGGACATAGTTGCCAAGCATGGTGAAGGCCTGTTCCCTGTTCCTTGCAGATTCCACCCCGTCTGCATTTCGATGTCCCATTGTTTTTATTTATGATTTTTTTAAGATTCCAGGTGTGCCACACCCACTTTCTCGCAGTGTTTTAATATTGTATGGAATTGTTGATACAAAGTGAATTCATACACAATAAAAAGGCTCACTTTTCCTTTTCTCCTGGCTCAAGCCCTTCCTTCTCTCTCTGTGGTGCCTACAGAGGGGACAGGCTGCACACCATCCCCACTCTCTCTGCCCACCCCAAGCAGAGGCCCCAGGAGGAAACCCCCAGGTTGACTCCACAGCATGCCAATGGCACACAGGGCTGGGAGCCATGGCACAGATAAGGAGCATTGAGCTACAATGGACTTTCAGATTTGTAGTTAGAAAAATCTAGGAGGAGGAGCTGTTTAAGGTCTGCACACACCTGAGTTGTGTGACCCACAATTGTTTCTGTTTTGTTTTGTGGAGGGGAAGGCACTGCCCTCTTCTAAGAGCTTAGATGTAGGAAAATCTTTATTCTGGGCCTTTGGCCTCATTCTGGGCCTATGGCCTCATTCCCTGGACCATCAAAGCCTAACCCCTGGGGAAGAAGTCCAATGAGTCAATGTTCAGTCTCACACCACACTTGGAAGATTTAAATGTTCAAAATTAAAGTTTTTAAATGGGTAAGTCTGAGCTCAGAGCAGGGAACTTTGTCAGTATAAAACATGAGTAGAGAGATTGGGAATGGTAGCTCACGCCTGTAATCCTAGCACTCTGGGAGGTCGAGGCAGGTGGATTGCTTGAGCTCAGGAGTTTGAGACCAGCCTGAGCAAGAGCATGACCCTGTCTCTAAAAATAGCCGGGCATGGGTGGAGTCTGTGGCTCAGTGAGTGGGTCTGGGGCTCATATACCAGCCCCATATACCAAGGGAGGTGGGTTCATGCCTGGTCCTGGCCAAACTGCAAAAAAATAAAAATAGCTGGGTGTTGTGGTGGGTACCTGTAGTCCCAGCTACTTGGGAGACTGAAGCAAGAGAATCCCCTAAGCCCAAGAGCTGGAGGTTGCTGTGAACTGTGACACCACAGCACTCTACGGAGGGTGATAAAGTGAGACTCTGTCTCTAAAAAAAAAATAAATAAATAACCGGGCATTGTGGTGCATGCCTATAGTCCCCAGCTACTTGGGAGGCTAAGGTAAGAGGATCACTTGCGCCCAAGAGTTTGAGGTTGCTCTGAGCTATGATGCCAAAGCACTCTACTGAGGATGACAAAATGAGACTCTGTCTTGGAAAAAAAAATGTATAGATGCAATCAGATAAAGATGATCCTCTGTAGATTAAAAAGTGTAAGATTAGAAAGCAGTTCACAACCTAAATGTAAAGTTACCATAGGGCTCAGCAGTTCTTTCATGATCTGTGCACGAAAGAATGGAAAGTAGGATGGCAGAGAGATACTTAGGCACTCACAGCAGGATTCACACAGCCAGATGGTGGAAGCAACTCAAGTGTCCATGGACGGATGGATGAATCAACACAGTCCATCCACTCATTGGAATATCATTCAGTCATGAAAAGGAGCAAGGCACCGACACAGGCTACAATGTGGATGAAAAGAATGACACTAAATGAAATACGCCAGACACAAGAGGACAAATCTTGTGTGATCCTACTCAGGACAGGTCCCTAGAGTCATCAGATTCACAGAGACAAAAAGCAGAATGGTGGGTGTCAGGCTGGGGCAGGTGGGGAGTTAGTGTTCCATGGGAGCAGAGGTTCAGTTCGGGATGATAAGAAAGTTCTGAAGATGGAGGGTGGTGATGGTTGCACAGTGTTCTGACTGTACTTAATGCCACTAAATTATGTGCTTAAAAATGGCTAAGATGGAAAACTTATTAAATATTATATGAAATTCACCATGATTTTTAAAAAAGAGCTCCTGAGAATTAGCAAGGTAAACTCTGAGATTCCAATAGACAAATGGACCCAGTATATATGCAGAGAACAGATAAGAAAGTGTTTACTAATAATTTATCTTAAATGATGAAATTTCTCCTTTTGCCTCAAATTCCATCAAGATTAAGATAAGCTTTAGAGTTCTGTGTTATCAGGAACACGGGAAGATACAAGCTGTCACGTACTCAGGGGACCTCTAAGCTGGTACAATCTTCCTATAAAGTACTTTAGCAATTTATCCCAAGGGCACATTCTCT